AAAAAGGGATCATAGATCCAAATCTTACTTAAAAGGGATCATAGATCCAAATCTTACTTCTTAGTAGTAGTAGCTCTAATCACCCTCCACATTTATCCGGATGTGGAAAAACCGACACCTCGGATTACTCCCGAGATGCTATCTTCTTATGAAAATGTAAATTTTATCTTCGCTTAACAATACTTCAAAAATACTTCTTAATTTCTCTAAAAAGTCTTGAAGGTATTTAAAAATATTTAATACCCCAAAAGTACTTGATTTATACTTCTCAACTACCATATATATAATATCTCCTCAAAATCACATACACAAAATTCACATTTCACACTTAATCACATAATGCATAATAAGCATATAATACGAGGAAACAAATTTTGGATTGGCAGAGAAACTTACCTTAAGTCCTGATGCTTCTAGTTATCCTCCTCTAATCTGGTCTCTAGATAATCACCTTTTTAATTAAATATGATAAATTAGTCACTTATTCTATTTGTAATTACTTTACCCGATTTTCCCCTTTTATTGTATTATTCGCATAAACTTTGGTTAATCACTTATTATTAATCAAATTACCTTATTAATTCAGCCATTAATTACAATATTTGAATTCTAATATTAAGTAAACTATCCGAATATTATTGACTACAACATCCACTTTTTATTCAATAATCACCATTAATTTTCTCTAATTATTATCTAATTACTTTATTTACATAATCGAAAATATTTATTTTCCTTATTTTATTCAAACATTATTTTTAGTCCAGAATATTATTTTTCAACCTCAGTGATTTATTTATTTCACCATTAATACTAATATTTCCTTATTTAATTACTTAACTAGTTTTATATGGCCTAATTTAAATAAATAGACTAAAAATCGACTAAATAAATTAGTAACCGTCCATAAATATATTTTGGGTCTATATTAGACCTAGGTTGTCCAGATATCTATTTTATAATTATTTCCCATAATTATTCCTTTAATTTCATATATCTATTAACCGGTTTAATTACAATTAAATATACTAAACCTTATTTTTATTAATTATAAATGGTCCATAAGGTCCTAGTTAGTCATATATTTATCCTAGTTTACTCCAATATTTATTTCATAATTATTTTCGTCATTTAGTTAATTATTTACTAAATGTGTATAAATTGGCCTAATTACCATTAAATCAATTAAAAATAGCTAAAAATATTATTTTCCAATTCTGGTTGGTCCGAATATGTATATTTATACTAGGTATTTAATTTATATTTTTCCAGATTTTATTTATTTCATTTACTATTTTATTTTTAATTTTTATTGCAACTGGGCCGAACTGGCCCATTTATAATTTTTTTCTGGCCCAACCTGAAAAGGCCCAAAAGACAGACCCAGCAATTGCTGGGTTGTCTTCTTCCCCAGGTCGCCGGAAAAACGGGGAGAGAGAAAAAAACGGGGAAAGAGGTTTTACCTCGTCGGAAACGGCCAACGGGGTAGCGGTACACTCCTCTCGGGACGGCGAATGACGGTGGTGGATTGGCGGAAGTGGCAGCCCCTCCCTCTTCTCCGTTTTCCGTCGAAAAGCTTTTCTCCGGCGAAACTCCGGCGAGGCTTTTCTCCCTCGTTTCACGACCGTTTTCGACGATTCTTTTTCCGTTGGATTCGTATCACGAAGGGGAAGGTTTGAGAAGTATTTTCAGGGCTTGTTTCTGGCTAAAACGCTGGGTCGTAAAAATATATATAAATACGTATATATGTATATTTCTTAGTTTTTGGGATGAAGAAAACGCAGGTTCTGGCCTATTATTTATAGGGGAAGATGAGGGTTTTAGAGTTGGAGTTGGAGTTTAATCAATTTCGTTTTTTTTTTTTTGAAGTTGCCAGCCAAAAACCTACCGGGAGTAGTTTATCTCCCGTAGGAGTTTATTTCTATTGTGACTTGAATGTAGTTCTTGAGTTTACGTAGGTTTAGTATAATATTTACTATATTCTTACGTAGGTAGGAGTATTTTAGTTATATATAGCTATATACAAGTTATACGTAGGTTTACTATTTTGATTACTTACTTATATATATATATATATATATATATATGTATTATGATTATTTTAATTATTTAGTTTATACTTTGTATATTATACAACCTAAAATAGTTATAAAAATTAATTTTATACGAAAACGTAACTTCTATTATCGGGCCATTTTTATCTGATTAAAAAATCGTGAACTTGGAAATTTTTATCTGATTAGAATGTTACAACTGTTGAATTTTTGTCTGACTCAATTAATAATTAAAATGTTATTTTCGCAATATTTTATCTGATTAAAAATTATTTTTATTTTTATTTAAATTTTTGAAGTGTCACACCACCTCCCGTTGGTTTGCCAGTCGGTGGATGGTACCTACGATTTCTCGTAGGGCATTGGGGTCCCGTCGGAGCTCCTGGGGGATCAGGTCAGTGAGTACTCCAAAATCCCCTGAGACCACAAGCTGCTGGACTGGGCCCCCGCCGCCTGGTTGTGGCTCCTCCTGCTATGAGCCAGCCGTGAAGAGAGGTCTTGAGCGTTTCCTGCATTGTTAAAAGCCATTCTACTTGCCTTGTGATTGTTTTAGGATTTTTTGGTGGAGAGCTTAGTTCGAAAAAACTTTTTGTTCAGTTTCCCACAGACGGCGCCAGTGTTGAGGTTTATTCCCTCAACTCGCAGGCCCAACACGTAACATGGGGGTTTCGAATGGGGGATGGATAAATAAGATGAAGAAACAAGCAGGAAATGGGCCAAACAACTGTATTCACTCACTCGAACTACTACAAGCCGAAGGGCCGAACGTACTGTACTATACTATGAACTGCTATTGCTGCTGTAATGCTAGAATGTCAAATTGCGAACCCCTTATAGTGAAATAAATGCCACTATTTATACCGTCAATGGGTAGTTGGCTACGTCGACGTGGCAGGCTGTGGACGTCATGATCCCCAACCACCAAATCTTCTACATTAAATGCGCTTCCCGTCAGAATCTTGGTTTCCCGCCATCGGGTAGGGACGCTCGTCCCCAAGGGTTTGGCCGTTGTCTCCTGCTGGGATTCCGATTCTTTTCCAATGGGAGAAAGGACATTCGTCTTCGGTTAGGGCAACTATCCCTGACGTATCCTTGGACCGCCCTCGGTCCCCTATTAAGAGGTGTGGACGTCCGTCCCCGAGTACCTCGTAGGGATCCTGGGTCTGGATACCTCCTGATGATGAACAACGTGCGTCTCCTGGCCCTTGGGCCTCGGTACTGGCTGATGATGGACTACGTACGTCCCCTGGCCCTGGGCCTTGGTACTGGCTGATGATGAACTGCGTACGTTCCCTGACCCTTGGGCCTTGGTACTTGCTGATGATGGACTACGTACGTCCCCTGGCCCTGGGCCTTGGTATTGGCTGATGATGGACTACGTACGTCTCCTGACCTTTGGGCCTTGGTACTTGCTGATGATGGACTACGTATGTCCCCTGGCTCTCGATGCTTGACCTTCTTCTTGGGCTCTTAGCAGGACGCTCGTAGGCGATCCTTAAGGGTTGATGGGCCGGCCCTTATTGGGCCATTAACCCAACAATTACTAATAAAAAAACCATGGACAAAAGTATTTCGTAGTAACTATTAGTGATTATAATTGTGTTCAATGTTTACATAGTAGTAACTTACATATAATTACTATTATTTAAATTCAACACAATTACACTTACTAATAGTTACTAAATATTATTTTCTTCCACTATACTATAAAGAATAATATTAATGAAACTTTTTCTTAAATTAAAGCATATAATTTATAGAAAATGGACAAAATAGTAAAAACACAAGTTTCATTTATTGTCATCATGTCTTAATTCTTGTGTCACTCTAATTTTGCAAAACAAATTGCGCCATAGATAGTTGTAAATTGTATTTTTCAATATAAGATGACAATTATATTTATTTAGCCCATAAAATATAGATTAATTACCTTTTACCCCGTCTATTTCTTAATTTTATATTGATTAATTAAAGCAATTTTCAACTTTTGAGCTTTGACATTCTTGAATCTTTAGAAATTAGTTCAAATAGGACTAAAACTATGGCAAAAACCTAAAATAGGACTTGCTATGTTTTCATTCCAAAATAGGACCATATGAGTCATATTGGAAACATACCTATTTTTGCATTCCATTCTTACCCTTCCATTAAATATGAATTAAAAATAGTCAAAAGCCATAATTAAATGTTTAATTCATAATAAATTCGAAGAAAAATTCAAAAATTCGTAGAAATATAATTAAAAAACTTATAAAATTTTTATAAAATAAAAAAATCAAAAACTTTTTTTTTAAATAATTTTATTTTTTAAAAAATTAATAAAAAATAGTAAAACTCCGTAAAAAAAATTAAAAAAATATGGATGCCTTTCCCACTGCCTGTACTACCTCCCAGCACCACCACCTCCGGCCGATGAAAAAAATGTCGTTTTCCCAGAAAAATGCCATTTTTTCTGAAAATGCCAAAAAAATGGCATATTTCTCTCTTCGAATGCCAACATTTTCATTTTTTCTGCCATAAATATGGCATTCGTAATGAACTTGACATTTTTTCCCCTGGTGACTGGAGGTGGTGGTGCAGAGGCGGCAGAGGCGGCGGCGATTTTTTTTTTGAGTTTTTATTTTCATTTTTTTTTTAATTTTTTTAATTTTTTGAAAAAAAGAATTAATTAAATTTTTAATATCGAAATGTTTTTCTTAATTTTTTAGTATTTTTTAAGAATTTTTATTATTTTTTATTATTTTATTAGGAATTAAAACATTTTAATAACTATAAGGGTATAATTGTCCAAGGTACACATAATTAGTCCTATGTAAACATATTTATTTTTTGGTCCTATTTGTGAAAAGTGAATGACTTTTAGTCCTATTTTGATAATCAAATTCTTCCCTCTTCTTCCCCGGGTTCCACTGCCAAAACCTTCTGTGAAGTCTAAACTGGCATTACCTTTTCCGGAAGGAATCATTACCGAAAATCACAAACAAAAAGCTCCGCACCAAGGTCAGAATTGTACTCGAGACTCTCTCTGCCTTTGTTACCCTCTCTCTTATCCTTCCCTCTGCAACCCTGTCGAAGTGTCGGAAGTTCAAATCATCGATTTCGCATCTCTCTTCCTGCTGAATGTGCACTTATCACTCCTTCCCACTTTCACGCCATGCGCGGTCCGCCCTTCTCTGAGTTGTGCACGCTTTCCTCAGCACGAATCATTGAGGACCGAGATCGCAGCGATCACTTACCTATACCCTCCTCCCTCTCTCAGTTTCCCCACTGCAACATAAATAAAATTATAATAAGAAGCCCAATTTTTTAAGATTCTGCAGGTCGAATCTGGGGAAATGGTGGCGGACACTTGGCTGCTGAGGATGGGTAATCAGGTAAGCAGCAACGTTAAGCATGCTTTACTTCTGGAAAATTCGAAGAAGTTAACCGACAAAAGTGATGGTCAGCGAGGAAAGCAATTCTTAGGTATACTTTCTTTTGAAGTGGCTAACGTTATGTCTATGATTATTCACTCGCACAAATCTTTGACTGACCATGAGATATTTAAGCTCAAGAGTGAGATCTTGAACTCTATAGGGATAAGAACCCTAGTATCTGATGATGAAACTAAGATATTGGAGTTGGCCCTTGTTGAGAAACTCGATGATTTGAATAGGGTAGCCAGTGTGGTGTCTAGGTTAGGGAGGAAATGCACAATTCCAGCTCTGCAGGGGTTTGAGCATGTGTATGGGGATATCACTGCTGGGGCTATTGATGTGAAGGAGTTGGAGTTTCTGGTCAAGGACATGGAAGGGGTGATAAAGAAAATGGAGAGATATGTTAGCTCTACCGCTAGATTATACACCGAGATGGAGGCTATGAAGGAATTAGAAATGGCTACAGTGAAGCTTAAACAGAATCACCATGAGGAGACTTCTAAAGCCTACCACCAAAAGATGGCTTGGCAGAAGCAGGATGTGAGGCATTTGAAGGATGTTTCTCTTTGGAATCAGACTTATGACAAGGTGGTCGAGTTGTTGGCTAGGACTGTTTGTACAGTATATGCACGGATTAGTACTGTTTCCCGAGACATAATCACAAGGGCTTCTTCTGATCAGGTTGGGGTAGAAGAACAAACAGGTGTTGATTCAAGTAGACCAGCTTTGAGAAATAGGAACGGTTATAAGCAATCAGGACCTAATCAGAGAAGTGTAGGGAGGAACCAAGGTGGCGGTTTATTTGGTCCAAAAGATTTCAACTTTGCATGTGCAGCCGGGCTCATCGAATGTTTGACTTTGAGTAGCGCTTCAAAGCATGTAGATGAAGATGTTTCCAGTCATATTTCTGGATATAGTAGTGTTCCAAGTAGATTTGTTAATGGTGTTACTTCTAAGAGTAGTAGTAGTAGTAACAGTGCAAGATTTGGTCCAAAAAGCAAAGTAATGTTCTATGCACTTCCTTCAACTGTTGGAGGTTCTGCTCTGGCATTGCATTATGCAAATATCATTATTGTTCTACAGAAGCTTCTTCAATATCCACATTTAATCGGCGAAGAAGCTAGGGATGATTTATACCAGATGTTACCAGAAAGCCTCCGAAAGAAGTTGAAGACTGAATTGAAATCGTATATGAAAGGTTTGGAGATATATGATGCGCCCATTGCATACGGATGGAGACAGAGGCTTGAAGAGATACTGAAGTGGCTTTCACCGCTGGCACATAACATGATTCGGTGGCAAAGTGAGTGTAACTATGAGCCGCAGCAGCAGGTTATCAAGAGAACGAATGTTCTCTTGATCCAAACATTGTATTTTGCTGATCGTGACAAGACTGAGAAAGTTGTGTGTGAATTGCTCGTCGGACTGAATTATATATGTCGTTATGAGCAGCAGCAGACTGCTTTTCTAGACTGTACAAGCAGCTTAGATTTTGAAGACTACAAGGATTTCCAATTTCAAATTGGACCTTCTTTTCAAGCTTGATGAATATTTCTCGGCATGTGCTGGTAATAATTATGACTGGATGATTACAATGTCTTCTACATTTTCTTTTTTTCTGGGTCGGAGATGACATTGGTGTAACTTTAGGTGCACATTAAGTATCCATTGATAGCCCTAATGCGTCAGATTACAATAATGTTCTTTCTAGGTAGGTTTTTTCTTAACTTTTTGTAGGGACATAGATTTGTTGTATGTCACAAATTTAGCCATGGGAACATTTCACTGAAGTATCTAATTCTGCACTTCCACTTGAAGGAAATTGAGCATGTACTCCGTATATAATTTTCATGCTCTTGATGTTATTGTTTCATTATGCATGGACTATTCTCAGTGATTGAGAGGAATAGAAACTGTGGTGCTATATGTATTACAACCTCTATTCAAAGTGTTTTATCAAGAAATGAAATGCATATTGTGTTTTCACAGAGTGTCTTGCTTATTGCTCTAAGTGTAGTAATAATCTGCTGCCACCGCTTCTGATCGTTCAATAGTATTGATTCATAGATCAATGTTTAGGCTTAGATGTTGTGAAGTTGATATAAAGAAATATTGTTGCGTTGAAAAACAAGAAAACATTATTAGTTAAAACCTTGTCCAAAACAATATGGTTTTGATTTCAAGCTTTGCCTCGATAAATTATAAATGGACATTGAAATTTTGCATCCTCACTATTAATGCATTATAAATGGACTATTTTATAACCTTTAGCTTAAAAATGTTTTAATATTAGTTTATGATACTCAGATGGTGATGATAATTGGAACTTTCACATTTTGAAACCATACTAAAGTAATATTGAGTCACTAATGAAACATGAACATTTGCGTTGTTGAGGTTTATTCCGTCAACCTGTAGGCCCAACACACGACCCAAAGGTTTCGAAGGGAAGAAATAAAGAAGTAGATGTAGAAACAAGCAAGAAAAGCCCAATAAGAAGTTTTGATACAATAATCTCGATACAAAGGCGTGAGGCCGTTCGTCCCTTGCCTATGATACGAGCTGTTACAATGCTATACTATTAGAGTGCTTAGTTGTCAACCCTTTACAATGAAATAAATGCTACTCCCTCCGTTCCTAAATAAACTTCCAATTTTCCTTTTTCGTCCGTTCCAATTAAAACTTCCACTTTCCCTTTTTGGTAAAGAATTTGTGGTTCACAACATTTCTTACACATTTCTCTCTCCTCTGCACAACTCTCCGCCACACAATATCCACTATCTTAAACTTTGTGCCAAACCCATTTGGAAGTTAAAATGGGAACGGAGGTAGTACTATTTATACTGCCAATGGGTAGTTAGATATGCTGACGTGGTAGGATGTGGATGGCTTGATCCCAACCACCAAATCTTCCGTATTAAATGCGGCAACCACCAAATCTTCTGCATTAAATGCGCTTCCCGTCAGGATCTTGGCTTCCCGCCAAGGGGTGAGGGCGTTTGTTCCCTCTAGCTTGCTTCCTGCTGTCTGCTGGGTCCAAAGTCCTGTAAGACGAGCGTCCGGTGCTACCTCTGGGCCAAGGCATCTGCCTCCGCTAGGATACGTATGTCATGCAATTGGGCCTTGCTGGCCTGTTGGGGATGTACATCCCCTGAAGTAGGGGGAACGCATCTCTTGTTGCCCCAAAGTCCTTGGAGACATTCGTATTGCCCTTAATCGATGCTCCTGACGTGTCGGTGGCTTCCTTGGCATGGTTTCCCGCCAATGGGTGGTGACTGTTGTCCCCAGGCATTGGCTGTCTGGTGTCCCGTGGTGCCTTCCAAGTTGCTGAGCCACTGTGTCTCCTGACGTATGTTTCCTGATGCGTTATTTTGCCTGCTTAGATACCCATGAGAGGAGACCGTATGTCGTCACTGCTTACTCCCATTTTGGTGTAGGACCGAACGTCGTCACTGCTTTGGGGACCACTCTGAGGGTATTTGTCACCAGACTGTTGGGCTTTGGGGATGGTCGTCCGGTAAGCCTCAGAGGTTAATGGGCCGATCCTATTTGGGTCATTTACCCAACAATAGTTTTGGTACAAATTGGCACAGATTCTTGTTACGGCTTTGTGCTAGGGTGTTTATGATGACATGAATATCAACTCGAATTCAAAGATCCGTGCCAAACCCTCGTGAAAATCATTTTTCTATGAACAAATTAAACATGAAGCTGTGACAAAAAATGGGTGGATTTATGTTAAATTTGTGTTAAACCTATTATCTTTTATATAGGAACATAATAAATTGATAATATTTCAAAATATAAAATCAGATACTAAAACATGTATTCGAGATTGCCCCATACCTCGATATTGTATATTAGACCTCTAATCTTTATTAGAGAAAATTATTAGAATTCTTATCAGGATCTATATACTTCGTATAAATGATAAAAGGATGGTGTTGTTAGAGGAGTAGAGGACTACTTGGCCCACCCAATTTTAACCGTTGTCTCACAATTTTGTCCCTGTTTTAATTTATTGTGCCGCCACTTCTAGGCATAAAGGTCAAGCTCATTTCTTTTTTGAGTTAATCTACTTTATGATTCTTGATGGAGTATAACCTCATGACCCACATACTCAGAAGAATAAAAGGCACAGCTGTCACCCAGTGGGACCTCCGTCGGTCAGATGGTTCTCCATCGGCCAGAAAGGAATCAACTCAGAATATGATCCAGAAGCCAGGAGAACCAGGTGTCTCCATCGGCCGGGTCTCCGTCGGCCATGTCTCCGTCAGCCGAACCTTCGTCGGCCACAGAGAGCTCACAGAGCAGAATTTCATACTTAGCCATTTTACATACTTTTGTACTCGGCCCAGTAGTGGCCCCATTGTAAATGGGCCTCCCAAGCCCAAGACTTGGGAGCCCCGCCCATATTTCCTCTATAAATACTCCCCTTGAGGGTAGTTATAGGGGGTTCACAAATTCATTTATTGCAGTATTCATTGCACTTCTCTCTCTAGCTCTCACTTCTCTCTACACATAAAATCTATCAATGGTGCTTTCATTGAGATTTCGAGAATAATCAAGTAAGAAATCCTCCCAAAAAACCCAAAAATCTCATACGAATCACAAAAAATGAGCCAAAATTGTTCTGGAAAATAAAAAGAAAAATCAAGAAATGAAGATCTGGGATTTCCGACACAGAAGCCGGAGATGTCTTTGCCGGAAAGGTCATCGCCCTCCTGGTCGCCGCCGTACGCCGATAGCAGAAGCTTATCGCCTGCTGAAGCTCACCAGCCGTTCCCAGGTCTGAGATGAGGCCGCCTCACGCTGTCCACTGCAGCTCACGGCACCAGGTACGAGCTCCTCCGTCATAACCCTGTCAGCATTGCTCCGAGCCGCTGCGCCACTGCACTGCTCTCCGTCGTCACGAATATCGGAGCCTGAACCCCGGTCACCATCTCCATGGTCATCGTTTTCAGCTTCTGAAGCTAGACCTTCAGGTATCCACCATTGATGGCCGCTGGGAAACTCTGCTAACGAACCATAAGCCAATGTGGAGAGAGCGTGGTGATTGCTGCTGAGAACCGGAACTACCATGATTGACGTAGCTCAAGCACCCGCCGGTCAAAGACACCCCAAGATGAGCTCCGCCTCTCTCATCACTGCGTTGTCCGTCGTCGGGGTCTGTCGGATACGCTCGTCATAGCTAATAGGGAAATCTGGTAAACCTCTAGACGAAATGCTCTGAGCTGACGACGGTATCCCCTCCATTTTCGGCGGCATCAGGACAAAGTGCATCTACCCTGCCCAGCACTTCGCACGCCATCAAGCCAGAAGTGTGGAGGCCCTCTTTCTTCCGGACCTAGATGCCGTGGAAAGTGGATATGGGCCACCAAAATAGTCAACAGGCTTCTACAATTTAAAATGGGCCCAAGGAGTTCTGCTGGATGTTATTCATCTCAGCCAAGCCCATCAAACATTCAGCCCATTTCAAAGCTAAGTTTTCCAAAACTCCTTCCATTTATTAATTTCTAGCAATAAATTTGATAAAGAAAATTACAAAAAAATCATAAATGAAATATTTTAATAATATAGCATCAAACTTCAATCTCGAGGGGCGAGTAATCCGTGAAAAGACCCGTAAATAACGTCTAGCGGATCCCAGCTACGAACTTGAGTGACAAGTTGAGCTAGAATATTAATTTACTATCATTATTTTTTTAAATAGTGTGCATTTTTTGACATTGAAAAACGGACTTATGAATTCCGAGCACTCACGTACACCGGGCAAGCACACACACTCGCGCCACCGGGTCACGTCAAACGAGTGTGGATAGTAAGCTCCCAATCCAAATGTTATCAAATGCATACTTTAGTTTCTATGTTTTGTATGAGTTATGTGTGCCCTCTAGCTATCGGAAATGAACTATAATCCCTTAGCGGTAGGTTCAGTCCTTTATGCGTGCCACGCTCCAACTAAGCATAGAAACCTAGCTTGAGCTGCAGCTTGGAAATTTGAGGCAACTTAATTTAGGCCAAAATCCAACAACAAATTATAAGCTCAAGAAATTATAACAATTTTATTTGAATGCATAGGTGCAACTAAATGATGACATCATACCGGCCACTTGGCCATCTCTCCTGGTCATCTTTATTTGATGGCTTGGACTTCTTATAGGCCTCTCGGTCACATGTCTCGGTCACTATATTTGATGACCTGGACATCATATTATGGACGATCACTCGACCTATCTCTTAGTCATCTTTATTTGATGATTGGAACTAATTATCATGCTGAGCTACTCACATCTAGAGACTGGCCTCGGCCATCCCCTCAGCAGACGGACACCGTTGCAGCTCCACACTTAGGCCGAAGGGCTCACCCCTTTTGCTTCATTTTGGGGGCATCCTGTCACGCCCCGGACATATCCGTACACGTCAACAATCCGCCGTACAATATGAATATAATAGTCAACCGCAGTCCAACTCATCCATATTATACAAGGCGTCTCGAATATCATTCACACATAAGTCATCCATAAACATACATAATAAGTAATTGAATACGCAGCGGAAATCATAGTTTGGATACAAGTGCCACACAGGGCAAACACGAGCACGCAGGCTCCATAATGAAAAACAATATCCATGAGCATGTTTTAAAATGTTTAAAATCAGGATGGAGGAAGCACGAACCAAGTCTTCCCCTCCGAGATGATCGCCCGATCAACAAGCACAGGTAGCAAGCTCTAGCCTCAACCTGAAATGGTGGTGGGAAGCCCCCCCCCCCCCCCCCCCCCCCCGAAAGGGGTCAGTACTCTATACGGCTATAAAGTACTGGTGTGGATGGCATCTAATAGATATACAACAAGTATTTCAAACACGAGACCCTCAAATAGGGTGATAATATAATTCTAGACCGTAACCCCAAGTTACCCCTTTTTAAAATATACTTACTTTATATATAAAGTCAAGTAGTCGGCCCATGGGCCAAAGTTCGTTT